TGTCTTCCTCTCACAAACATCCCATAAGGTCTCTGTAAAGTGTTGGTGAAGCCTGTTTGCTGGTGTTATCATTGTGATTAAAGCAGATATCAGAACTTTAACACAGTGGTTCCCAACATTGCTTGACTTGTGTATGCCTTTGGGCATTTTGTCTTACCACGAGTCCCCCTCTCAGTAAAAAGTTGTGATGATTGTTCAAAAGTGGAGCGTACAATAACTGATTATAAAAGAAAATCTATTTTATATATTTAATTTGAGCATTTAATTCATTATGCTTTCCATCTCAAATAAAAAAAACAACATAAATATGTTGCCTGAATGTTAGCGAAGGATTTTAATAAATACAAAATAGAATCATATCATAAACCTGTATTTATAAAACTGGAGCTCCTCTGAGTAACTCTCTTATAATCACATTTAAACTTGATGAATTGGTAACAAAATAAAGAACAAAACTTATAGTCAGACTAATTTAATTAAAACACCTGAGCTGCTTTGATGAGCTCTGATAGCTTAGTGTGAAAACCAGCTGATCCCAGGCTGTTCTCTAGTCTGTTCCTCTCCTTGGTTTGGATGTTTGTCAAAGCTGAAGGTGAACTCAAAAAGTAAGAAAAACTTACTTGTTGGTTGCTTGTTTATTTTTTCACAAATCCAGACAGATCACAGTCCTATTTTATTTTACTACCTAAGAAAAAAAAAATATTCCTCTACCCCTTGCAATGCACTCACGGAACACTAGGGGTACACATACCCCTGGTTGGGCATCGTTGCTTTATGAGTTGGCTCTAAAATTATATTGCAGCAGCAATAATAAAGCATGAGGGGCTCTAAAATCCTCTGGAAAAAGGCTACATTGACTAGACTTAGTAAAAGTCAATAGACAAACACCAGCGACTGTCAGGGAATCCAAACCATGTGACTAACTGGATGTGCTCTCTTTCATCCTCTGACATGGGAGCTGTTTCAAGGTTGTCTGCTTCGCTCTGTGTTTCCTGTGGAGCTGGTTTACAGTTGCTTATTTCTCTGTCTGCTTCTGTGTCTTTGAACCCCAGACGGACTCGGTAGATGTGCCACTCACACTGAGTCTGGTTTTGCTGGAGGTTTCTTCCTGTTAAAAGTGACTTTTTCCTCTCCACTATCGCTACAAGCATGCTTGCTGTGAGGGATTGCCTTCGAGTCAATGAGTTCATGCAATCAACTGGTTTTCCTTAGATAGAAGACTTTGTATGATCTGGTTGAACTGTAAAGTGCCTCATGAAGAGTGTTGTGAATTGGCCCTATATAAATAAACTGAATTCATAATTCAAAAATTTGAAATATATTTTCATTTGAAAATAATCAACAGTCTGATTTTATTATTATTATTTTTTTTTTTCCTGAGATGTCCTTTTCCAAACATTCAGAATCCAAATTACCTATGACTTCACTTTTTTTCCTTTTACAAAAGTTCCAGAGGTAAATTCATCTCTGCTGCTTTTTTCTACCTCATATTTTCATTCCTTTAAACCTTCCAATAAAATACTTATTGTTGTTTTCATACGCAATTATATTCCGGATTTTATTCCAGTTGATGAGCATACAGTTACATAAAATCATGTATAAATAAATCATTTTAAAATGTGATCTAAAAAGGTTTTCTAAGTGCGACAGCAGCGCTAAGATGAACTGAGAGATAAGCAGAACCCTGAGGATCACAGACAGGAAAATCAGAAATTATTCCAAACATCAAAAAGGAAATAATAAAGGAAAATGTATTTACTCTTTAACCAAATATCTAAAACTAATATTACAAAGGCATCCATGTTTGAAATATTTTTGTTTTCATAATAATCTTGTATTTGCTCCGTGACGTAATCGTGTATGTAAGTGCGTAGTGACGCAGGGTTAGCTGTTTTCCCTCCTCTAACGGGGCGAAGCTTTTCGGCTGAGTTCATGTTCAGAAGCACCAAGTTGTGACGGTGAGCTCCACAGGGTCCATATCTTCATCTCTCTAGGTGGAGGTCCGGTTAACGGACCGAACTGTCACTTCGAAACCCGTAAAGGTAAACATTAGCTCAACTTCTCGCTCCTGTTTTCCACATT